GTGCTAGATTCGGTCAATCTGCGACCGAATCTCGTTTGTGATACACCGTGAAAGGGTTAAAATGCCTATTGTTCTTGCATTGAATGGGTCAATTCGTCGCTATGTCCAGCAACATTTGACTAATTCAGAATACCCGCTTCAGAATTCCCCCGAGGGAATACGAACGTTCTAATTAAAGAAGAGATTCCGGGATTGGGAACTTTCGTTGTTTCGGTTTAAATACAAAAAAATCTGTGTATACCGCTCCCGATATGTGAGAATGTAAAAGATCAATAGTATCACGGGATACGACGAACCGAATCTTCTCCAAAGATTCACTTAAGACCTCGTTAATTATTACGCGCTTTTACGGGCCAAGTACTTCTTCTATCGCCTGGTCCCGTCTCCGTTTTCTTCTTCGTTACTCCTCTCCCATCACTCGTTTTTTCTCCTTCCATTTGAAATCTTTCCCGCCGGGAAATGAAAAAATAACACGCTGCCTCGTCGCGTCAATTTATTTTACGTTTAATTAAATCGGGTTGTTAGTGAAAACATACACCGTACGCGAAACGTTTCGCAGAAAACAGCAAAGATATTTTCAACAGAGGGACAGAGAGAGAGAGAGAGAGAGAGAGTCGTGCACTTTCGACCGCTCGCTCAAGAAAAGAAATACAAAATGGCCGACCAAAGGAATTCTCCGCGAGCGCACATTGTAGCAACCATCTTTCCAAATATTCCTCCCGTCTCGAATTGAATCTGCCGACAAATCGATCAAAGCGTTTGGATCGAAATATTCTTCAGATTAGAGTGACTCCTAACGAAACCTATTATCCTCGAGTCTATTTCCGGCAATTTCATCAGGCCATAAGTAATGTCGTTTCTTGATACTTGTACAAAATTTATTATTCAAGAGTTAACGCAGTTTTAATATAATTTAACGATAAATATCAATGTATGCAACTAGAATATAGAATATAGATGTTACAATAAGTTAAATTATTGTCGCTAGATGGCAATGTTTATTAAATTTGAAAAAAAAAAACGACAGGAACGGAGGGAGAACTTGAAATTTAAAAAATAGCCCAATCACTGTTAGAAAACTCCAAAAAATGCGTCCCATAAATTTGGGTCGTCTTCTCTCAAGTGTGATGAGCTCTTCCACACCATAACAATGTCATAACAAGCGCGTACTCGAAGGATCGTGTACGCAACGAAACGCCGATGGAAAATTCGGGAACTTTCTGTCCCCTGCTCGACAAAGTCCCTAGGAAAGACTTATTGTAAAAGAAGACTTGAAGGTTAGTAAAGGAGTTGTTACAGTTAGTATCAATCAGTTGTCAGAGTTGAACAGTTGGTCAAAGAAGTTGTAAGAAATTATAGATAGAAGTCAAAACAGTTAATGATAAATCATAGGGATAGCGTCGATCAGTCATAGTTATTTATTTGCCACATCAGTGGGGTGGTTCTTCGAACTGCCAGGGATATGCGCAGGACACAAAAACGTTGGAGTTTGGAAATTGTCGAGTTACAGTGGTAAAAAATATCCTGCCAAATATTGGCAGCCGTTCTGAAAAAACGTGTATTCGCGGCAGTCGAATAAAGATACACATGAAAATTGCTCGTTACTGTCGAAACGTTTGGGAATTCGAGGCATTCGCAGTGTCGTTGCCGTGATATCATCCGAGCAGTGGGGGCCCGGCGTCGGTGACGTCTAACGCATGGCTAGAGTTCAATTTCGTCGCGCGTTGCGTTTAGACTATAATTGAAATTCTTACTCTGGCGCAGTAATTCGTGCGCTCTTTGTGCCCGTGACATCGCTCCCGATCTCTTTGATCGACGTTCTTCAAAGTCGGGCCAGGCAACCGGAAATCATCATTTATTGGCTCTCGCGCTGTCCCCGTCGCAAAATCGAGAGAACCATCGGGGACAGATTAGAAATTTTTCTCTCTCTCTCTCTCTCTCTCTCTCTCTCTATCGCTCGAAATCGCTTTGTAGACGGAGGGAACCTCGTCTGGTTGCCAGCGACTTGATTGACCATGGAACAATGCCGTGTATCTCTATCGAGGCTTTTTGATCCTCGGAATCTCGTTTGGAATCTTCTTTCGTCTAGTTAAGTTCGAAATTAGCTTCGAGCGGCGCGGTCCGGTTCGATTAAAAAGAAGAGGGAGCGGGGGGGGGGGTGAAGCCGGAGGTACCGGATCGCTCGGCCCGACAGAGAGGCGTGTTACCATTTCAATTTTGTTCGCTTCTCTATTTTTCAGCGTCTATCTCCGTCTCGCGTTCAGCTCTGCAACACGCTCATCAAAGTTTTACCGTACGATCAATTCTGTTTCCAAAGCAGCTTGTTTCCTCCGTAGCAGATTGGAAACGTACAATCGGGAATAAGAATGCAACCAAGGTATCCAAAGGAATATTTTACGCGCGGAGATCACAACGAGGATGATGGGAAAGAGTTTTATTTGCGAGAGAATTTCATCAGGACGCGATTGTAATTCGAAGAGTATCGATTATATTCGTCGCTCGACGGAGGCTCGAATGATTGAACTCGAAAAAAGAAAGGAAAGAGAAGAAAAGTTAACACCGACTTGGAACGTTGAATTCCGATGGCGGATCGGAACGTGATCAAAACGTTGATTGTACGATGGGAAGATAAATGGTCTCGATAAATGCTAGAAAGGGAAATAAATATTTTTCCCTCCGCTGGGTCGTGTATACTTTATCGAAATGTCGTGTTAATTCCCAATGTAACTGTCACGAGCAATGCACTAGCACGGTTAACATAAAGCCCTCGTTATTGTTCGCTGCCTGTTCGACGAACTGTTCCAGCCATGTTTTAAATTTCCAAACATCCTGTTTCGGTATCCTCGTTCACGATAAAGCAATGTCAATGTTCAGTTTCACCCTGTCGGCGGATCCGCGTGTTTCACCGGCAGATTTATTTCCGCGAACTCGAACATTTTTTGGCTTCCATTCGGGGAGGGAAATGCGTGGCCAACGAACAACAAAACAACAACAGAAAAAAAAAAGAAGAGAGAGAAAAAGAGGGACGAACGTTCGTATCGTTTGCATTAAAACGCCCGCCGTACTCGAGCCGTCATATTAATTCCGTTTGCGTTCCACTTGCTCGTGGAAACTCCGCCGGCTTTTCCAACTTAAAACAATGCTCTGAGAGAGTCGATTGAAATATCGTTGGTTATAAAGAGGTCGAATCAGAATAAAAATACCGGCCATGGAAGGGAAAACCAACAAATTCTCGAGGCGTATATCATACGTGTGTACGTATGCATACAGCTATATGCTTTGTACACGCAGCGTTCCAACGATCGTCGTCCAATTGCGAAAGTAAATACGTGACATTACAAGGATTGAGAAAGCAAAATAATATTGTAGGGAACAACTTTTCAATTATTCCAATATTTTTCTTTCACGCAGAATCGATTAAACTACGATTGCTCTGTTCCAAGATGATACGAGTCACTGTGTCACCGGAGACAGGGAAGAGAAAGATTTTAAGCTTGGAAGATTTTAAGCTTAACTCGGATGGTCGTAAGCTATCACAGAGATGAGACTGAAACGTTTCTACGAGTTGCAAGAGAACTTCACGTCTCGTGAAGTCAAAAATCACCCGTTAGAAACGCAATACTAACTTTACGCTGGCCGTTCAATCACGAAGAACTCGCTGCAGTTTCGTAGAAGAGCAGGACTCGAAACATTTCAATGAAACTTTTAGAATCGAAAATCTGACCTGTTCAGGTCTAAACCTTGCGCAAGTAGTCCGTGAGAAATCAAACGAAAGCTATCCAAAAGTTTACGATACGTCGATTAACAAAGGGAAGAAATATCTTCGAATCTTAATTGGAATTCGAACTTTCTCTCAAACTGCACGTATGAAATTTCTCTGTACTGTGGGGATAAATATGATGGCACGTCTGTGGAATGTTTGGTGAGAGATATATCAAAAACTCACAGATTTTGTGACGATGTTCTTTTCACATTACAGAATTTTAAATTTTATTTAAAATTAGTTTCACGCGAAGTGCATCATAAATTTTGGAAGCAACGAAACCTTATTCTAATTGAACTGAATTAATTTACTCCGGCATGAAGTAAATATTTTTTACTCCTATCTATTTTAGATAATGAATTACATCTACACTTCAGTTCGTCCGTTTTCGCATTTCAAACGCAGAAATAACAAATACACAATCGCTGGAAAATATCATTGGGAAATGGAATATTAATTTCTACATCGTCTCGTTCTCGCAAATGACAAACGTTACACTTCTGTTCCAAATGATTCCCTGTGAAACTTCCACTTTTTGGAGCTTTTCGAAAAAAAAGAAAACAAAAAAAAACAAAAAACACGTCTCTCTCGACACATTTTCATCCGTTCGCGTGGCAGCCGTTCAATATTTTTAACAACCTCTCACATCCTCCTCCATCCGATGCTTCGGCGAGGTCCTCGAACTTCGAAAGTTCATCCTCGAGAAAACGAGGGAAATTTTCGTGGGAATAAACGCTCGAGAAGATTGGTGCAGAGCTCTACGAACGTCGAGCAGCTACTAATAGAACAGCGGCCGACGTCGGCGAGAGAAAAATATCGGAGAGCGCAGGTAAGTAACGCGGGTAAGTATTTAACGACGCGTTGGCAGGATTTCGTACGTGAAACGAGAAGTTTCGCTGAGAACGCGTAGTCGCCCTCAGCCACTTTCTAGCACGGAGGACTTTTCGTTTATTAAGAGAAATTCGAAAACTTCTTCTTGCTCCCCTCCTTTTCTTCCAATTTCCGACTTACGGCTGTCCGAATCGTGCGCAAATTCCGTTTCTGGCCTGATGAGAGAAATCTCGAATTTCGATTCGAAGATACATTCTTCCTTCCTGTTGGACGGAGGGCAATCGATTGAAAAGAATTGTTGGATGATCGCCTGATAATATTGGCCGACAATCAGTGCTAACACTGAGTGAAGTATCGTAGGTTATTATCGTATGTCGTTGCTAGATCATAGCTAGCTAGCTAATCATTTAAATATTTTAATTCCAGTAGGAATTGCAATAATTATTGTTGCTGATGTAAAACAAGCTCGTGTATCAATATCTAATCCAATAGTAAATGTATAACGTGCTTAAACAATAAAACCTAATAATCTAATCCCTAATATTGCATAAATTATTCTTAAGTTTCCAAAAATTTCTTTCTTTCCTCTTTCATTTATAATATAATTCGAGAAATTAAAGTCCTGGTAAAATTGAAATATAAACTTCTGGATGTCCAAAAAATCAAAATTAATGTTGATATAAAATTGGATCTCCTCCTCCTATAGGAGGATGTTGCATTAAAATGATGTATTAAATGATGTTAAATAAATTTAAAATCTAAAAAAATGATGTATTAAAATTTCGATCAAATAATAATATGAATAGTAATGATAAAATTAATAAAATAACATTAATTGTGATTGATCGTGAAAATAAATTAATTTGAAGTAAATTAGAGAAAAAATTTTATTATAAAAATTGTTACAATAAAATTTAATGATCCTAAAATTGATGAAATTCCAGTTATATGAATAGAAAAAATAGTATAATCTACAGACGGAGAAGAATGATATAAATATAATGATAAAAGAAGATATACAGTTCATCCAGTTCCTGAATTAGGAAAAAATAATAATAGGTAATAATCAAAAACCTAATATTATTTATTCGTGGAAATGCTATATCTGGTGATCCTAATATTAATGGAACTAAAAAATTTCCAAATCCTCCAATTATGAAACCTATAATTGTAATTGTTATGTCTTCAGTTGTGTTTAATTATACTAGATGGCCTGCTGATGTTTGCTGATCGTAGGAGCGCATGAAAAGAAAGAAAGTGTGAAAGTATTTTCCTTTTCTAAGAAGGAGAGAGAGTCGAGCGAGTGAAAAAACAGAGTTTTGAGTTGTAGGAAAGCGTCGATTGTTGTGAAAAAGAGTTGATTGAGTTGTTAAGAAAGAGTTTATTTGAGTTGTGACCGCGCATACTAGTTGTTAATGTGTTCTCGTTTAATTATCTATTAAATAAATATCGCTTATGTTTAATCTCTACGGTAACAGATTGTTCGAAAGTGCAGTTCCTTACGAACATTTATTCATAATGCAAATTCCAGTAGTTGGTCATCCACGTTTCTTCCCCTCTCCCCTCCCTTTGATTTACAATTATAAAAAGACGTGCCAGGAAGAAAGCCACACACTCTCTTCCATCAGCAAGCATCCTAGCATCACTCTTGATACTCACGGTTAAAATAATCGAATAAACTGTGTTTGTGTGAAACGTATTTGTACGCGGGGCCTAGCAGAATGAATCGAAACGGAGAACGAACGTGTACCAAAGGCAGCCAGCAGAAAGTTTCGAAACAAAGATTTGCCAATGGAATCGATCGACGGATTGAGGATTTATCGCGCCGGGAGCGTAACAATCGCAGCCTTAGAATGCCAATTAAGGCGGCTGGCGAGCCGCCGATTGGAACTCGAGCACGTCTACCTTCCGGCGCGAAGGAAACGATTAGTCGACAAGCCGACTGGGGTGGAAAAGGGAGCCGAGAAGGAGACTTTCGACGACTCACGGCCCTCGGCGCGTTGATGAGGGTATTATTCCGAGAGTTTGTACGTACCTTGGAAAGCGTGGTGGGATGCGGATAAAGGTTGACGAGGCAGCTCTGTCGTCTGAGCCGATAGTCCCAGCGTGTCTCCAGATGAGGGATCTCCATGGTGTCGCAAATGCTTTGCACATGCGAGGCGGTGTGCGCGCTCTGCGGCCCGAAAATCGCCGCCACGCCGCTTCGCAACAAATGGCACACTGAAATCAAACACCATACACCGCGTTATGCTCGCCATTTCCCTTCACTTTCCCAATTTTTGGCCAATTTTTTCTTTCCGAAAAATTTCACTTGGCTTTTCATCTCACGCGTTCGCGAACTAATTGCAATTTCTCGAATGTATGCTTTTTTTTTGTTGACTGAACGAACGAAAAGAATGATTCGAATTCGACGGTTTTGCGAATGCTTCGTTTGACTTGCGCGTCGAATGAAATTCTTCAGACAGTTAATAATTGGATACATCGACATATTGTTGATGTTTCGACGCCGACTGAGGCGTGTAATTTGTTTTTTGTTCCACGCCGCGTTCGTACTCGTAGAAATAAAACAAATAGCGAGCCGTGCATACATACTTAACGTGTTTCTCGAATTCTACAGGAAGCGTACGACTTCTAGAATTATATTGTACGACTTTTGAACCAAGTTTCAAACTTATTGCATTAAGCATAAAAGTCAATGGCGCAGACTCGATTAATTGATCAAGAACTCCGAATATCGCGCGCAGAATTTTCAATTCTCTCGTATTGGTATCCATTACATATATACCTCTCATATATCGCAGATACGCTGCTTCAATGATATTCATTAAAAAAGCATGTATATAATTCGTGGCACAGGATCAAACTAATGCGTTCGCAGAGCAAACACGCGCGTACATTTCCGCCCAAAGCCTCGGAACAATTTTATTTTCGATGTTTTATATTCAATATTCATGAATTATCGTGTATTTTATAATACAATGTAACACAATATATTAATGTATTAACAGAGCCTTTATTATCTAAAGTGTGCTTCAATTTATTTTATACGCTAATTTTATATTTAATCCGATTTCACTGTACGTATATATATTGTTACATAATAATAAAATACATTAATATATTAACAGAGTTTTTATTGTATAAAAAAATACGTTTTATATTTATATCCATTTAATTATATTGTGCGCAGAATTTATATCCTTGTATTGTAGGTATCGTGTCTATTGCATAGAATTTTATTGCGCTATTTTCGCTAAACAAATATAGTACTTGTCCCGGGGCTTTCGAGCGGGGATGTACACGAAAACAAATATTTGGAATCGATGAAAGTTCGCTTGAAACGGGTGAAATATCGGAGCGAGTGAAATTCACGAAAAATTTTCGACCAGCATTTCCGCAGCATTTTCTGAAACGCGCTTTCGAAAGATTAGTTCGCGTAATAACACGAGCCGTGGTAGCAAAGAAAATCGTAGTTGGCGATCGTACGATACGGAGGCAAAGAGTTCGGGACGTCGGAGCGCATAACGTAACTGTCACTCGGCCGCCATTATCGATTAATCACCGAAACTCCTCTCTCTCTCTCTCTCTCTCTCTCTCTCTCTTTAGAACTTCCGTCGTACGAACTTTCCCCTATATCCTGTTTCCCATCTTCCCGTTCGACTCGAGAGGAGATCACTATGGCGCTTGGCAAACGAAGCATCGCCTGCCGGGTTACGATCTCTCCCCTGTCCAAAGCAGTGTATTTAATCGATCCCTTTCTGCCTTTAATTCGCCAAATAAATGTCCCCTTTGTCATCAGTTTCAACTTTGATTGCCGCACCGGCTCCGAATAAATTACCGAAGCGTAGGATAAAGTTTATTCTGTTTACCAAGGCGAATTGCCTCGCCCAGTAAAATGGCAACTTTGTTTCCTTCGTTTGCGTAACTGTCTTCTTCGTGTTCGGAGTTATACCACGGGCTTATTCGATTCTCGACTACTTGACGATTTAATTCGCATCTTTCTTCGAGCGCGGAGACTATTGTCACGTTATTAACCCCTTCCCGTGCTTTAACGAGTCTGACTCGTGATGAAGATTTTGGC